TAGGTTTTCCATCCCACTTTGTCATGTCTTCTCCGTGATCCAGCAAGTAAAACCATAGGGTACCCCGTGGCGTATACCTTCTGTATCTCCTCTCTTGAACAATAGGACGTCTTTTGTTAATAGCTGAGACGCGTGTTGGTACACGTGAGGAGCTGGATAAATCAGATACATCGTCCCTCAATTTGTCGAGGTCCTGGGACAGTTTTTTCACAGCTGAGATGATGGAAGGAGTGAGATTGTCTTCGAACTCTCGGAGTTTATGAACCATTTCATCCACTGTTAGTGGTACTATGTCATTCCAGGTCACTGTTGCCAATGAATGGGCATATGATGACGGTGCATTCCGTGTAAGTTTTCGCCACATGGGTCGTGTACATTCAACTTCATCTGGATCTATAGGTGTATCCCCGTTATTCGGCTTGATGTGATAGATCATCTCTACGATGGCCGATTCCCTCAGAGACTGGATGCCTTTGTCTATAGTAGTCCACTTGGCCGAACGACTCGTAACATCGTCCTTGTACGGAAACCTTTCTTTCACAGCTGCCAAGAGCCTCCTCCAAAGGCTGAGGGACTTTTTCTCTCTTGCAATTGCTTTGTCAATTCCCCCTTCTCTAGCAAGTGATCCCAGCTGCTTGGCTTCTGTACCTTCTAGTTCGTGACCATCGGCCCCATTGTCCCAGCATCGGAGTAACCAGGTGATGATGTGCTCCCCTGGTTGACGGGTAAAATCTTTTCGCATATTCCGCAGCTCGGTTGAGGTCCGGGGTCGAGAAGTTACCTCTTCTTCTTCTTCTTTGTCATGTGAGGATGACTCCTGATCAGATTCTGGACCGGGTGGTGAATTCATTGGTTCTTCATCTCGCTTCACCCTTTTTGCCTCCTTCTTGCTTGTTCTCTTGCGTACAGGGGCAACCGATATTGGTACGAATTGGTCCTCTGGTTTGGCTGCAGTGATTATCACTGTGGTTTGAGTAGCGACTGTACTTGTTGCTGGGGGTGGTGTAGCTACCGTGCTTGGAGCTGGGGTAACCGCGCTGTCTGTTGCAGTTGAAGTTTGAGCAGCTGCTGTACTTGCCACTGGGGTAGCTGCGCAGTTCATTGCAGCCAAAGTTTGAGTAGCGACTGTCGCTTTGCCCTCAAATCCGCCAACATTCTTTTCCTTTTGAAGGTGCTGGATAGTGTTGAACAAGGCCCTGTAAGCATAGGCCAAGCCCCAGCACGTTGCCGTGATTTGTCCATCTCTGGTATGGCCAGAATGACCACACACCTCATTTAAGTGTTTTACTAATTCTTCTGGATTTTGCAGTTGTTCGGTAGTGAAATTCCAAAATACTGGGGGGGCCCACTGACCTAGATACTTGCCCATACTATCCCACACACCCTGCCACTCATGGCTGTCCAGCCTCTGGGAAAATCTCTCGGTCCTCCTACATCGTCGTTTGACCCCAGACAAGACCCAAACCTGAATCTGCTTAACTCTTGAAATCAGTAGTGGGCAAAACACACTCTGTATGCGTGTTAGCATGGTGATTCCCATCACCATCAGCAAACAAGTCTCAAGAGCATTAAAAGGCCATTTAAAAAATTCGAAACTCTCAAATGTAAATGGTCTGGGGGGACGACTAGGAGGGTAAAAGGATGTCTCCTTCACAGGTTGAGCACCTGAGAAGGAGAAAAAAGATGTGTAATTGCTAAGCACCTCCATCATATACCTCCCAAAGTATAAAGGTGGTGACCACACTGGGAACATAAACCAGATCAGTTTCATGATCAATGATTCTATTGTATTACAAGTCATTACCATAAAGTACAATGGGATAAAAACCTTAGCCCAAGCCCCACACTTGAAAAACACTAATACAGCCAATACCGGATGGACGTAAGATATGGTATACTGAAACTGTGAGATCAAGAGGAAAAACCTGGAGAGCCAATAAATCAGCATTGTGACGAGTGACTCTCAATCCAGTCAGATCTGTTCTTATCTCAACCCCTCGTGCCCCACGTTGGGCGCCAAAAAGAACTGTCGTGGTTTAAACCCAGTCAGGTAACTTGTTCACTCACTCCCAGTGAGTGGTGCCAAGCTGACAACAATCAAGGTCCGTGTTCGTCTCCCCCCCCCCTCCCTGCACCGGGGCTCTCCCCTTCCCCGCTCCCGGAGGAACGGGGAGGAGGATCGAGAGAGTGCAACTCCTACGGGTTGAGACAAGAACAGTCCAGCAACAAATCACCACCGCTACTATCAGCTAAAACAATGATAAGGGAAAATAACAAGGGAAGAGAATACGATACCACCGGCCAAGAAGACGAGTTCCACCCGGAAGCTCCTGTCCTTCCGGGTAACTCCCAGTTACCCCCCACCCCGGGCATGACGTGCTGTGGTATGGAATACCTCCCCGGCTAGCCCGGGTCAGGCGCCCCGTCTCTGCTTCCTCACAGCTTCCCCTCCTCCCTGGCAGAGCATGAGCCTCACAGAGTCCTTGGTCAGGGTAAACATCACTTAGCAACAACCGAAAACATCGGCTTCACCAACGCTGTTCTCAAAACTAGAAGTCAAAACACAGCACTGCACCAGCTAACACAAAGAAAAAAAAAACATGACTGCTACTGCTGAACCCAGGACAACTTGGTACTTGACTTAGGAGACTGGCAGTATTTAAGATCCAGACCCGAGTTCTGCTCTGGAAGCAAGCCCAAGCGACAAAACAGAATTACAGCCCTAGCTCATTTGTGAACCCCTGTGAAATCCTTGTATTTGCAGTTCAGTCCTTTTCTAGTGATGACCTACTGGTCAAAGAACACCTGTAAGATTTTCAGCCAGGCTTTCAAATGCACTTGGTATGTCTGTATTTCAAAGTAGTTTGTGGTGTTTTGGAGGCAGCAACAAACTCTCATGCCTTCAAGTGCCTCCTTCCACATCTAAAGGTGGATAAAACATCAAGTGCCCAGGAATCCATTCAGACTCTTTCAAAGAGTTTTAGCAATAGGAATGGACAGTGAGTGACTCAGTGGCTGAGGAGAGGAAATGAGTCACGAAGCAGCATCTCTGTTAGTGAGCTGGATTGCCCTACACTGAGCCAGGGCCTCTGAACGCCAAAGTGATTGGATTATATTTTTGCTGTATTTTCTGAAAGGAGGCAATAAGTTAAAGCTGGAATGGGGAGCTCTGCCTGCCACCCTTGGAAAGGGAGGGCTCCCACATGCTGCCAGGACTACTCTTTAGCACAGGGGTAAATAGCTTGAATCAGCCACCCAATTTCTTGGAACTACAGAAAACAGAGCTGGAATGAGCCTCTATCCCCTGCACAGTGTTATTTTAAATGATTAATTAATATAATCTAAATTATTTCTTTGGGACTTGGAAAAGTATGCAAAGCTGACAACAGCATGAATTTACTCAGAACAGTAACTTAGTCTTTCTGAGTCCAGTTAACCTACCTGGATACTTTCTAGCCTCATTACCTATGCTTCACAGTTAACCCTGTGTTTTAGCATCCAGCTCAGATGTGCCTTAGCTCATGTTTCCACAGAACCCAACAAAACCTCGCTCCACTGGGGGAGATGGCTCAGAATACATCAAGGTCTTCCTGTGTTGTTGCTTCCGGTCAACTTTCACTGAAAACCTTCCCCAGGAGGGACTGCAATAACCTGTTACCTGCCAGCTTAGCTTAGTTTAAAGGATGAACTCTTATACATAAAGAAAACTGGTAACTTAAAGTGATTTTTTGTTTTTAAAAATTGCTCATTTTTCAGAGTTCTAAATTCTCCTAACCTTGTAATTTGCTACTATACTTATAAATCCACATATAGCTGCATTTGATATTTGAGTATAGTCAGGCTCCATTTAGCCAGGGAAATGCCACTACATGGAAGGAAGCCATCTGTTCTGAAACAATCAGGTTGACCTTGTTTTCCCGTAGGCTGGGATCTAAGAGAAAGGCATATCTTTGTCTCTCTGAGGAGACAAAGTGCCATGCTCTCGAAATGCGGAGCAGCTTCACAGGGACATTCAGAATCTCTGCTGCAATGCACAGAAGGATGATGCTCATGACAGGAAGATCAGGCTGCCAGGGAAGCGGGTGCAACAGGTATTTTATCTTTATAAGCATCGTTTCAAGCCGTGACTCATTCTGAGGATGCCTGCTACTCAGGTCTGAGAAGCAGGCAGTAGTGAGTAACCGCACCAAAGTCAGAACTGCTTCTGCCTTTGGTACCATACATGTGAGAACAGCTTGTAGATGATGCATTGGAGTCATCTGATGCGTTAGCTTACACTGGACATAGAGCCCTTTGTAAATTGCATGGTGCCAGATCAAGGATGGAAGCTGGAAGAGAAACTTATTCCTGACCTTAGAAGAAAACAGGCATGGGAGAACAGGCATCTCTTTAAAACTTTAAGCTTTATAAGTTTAAATTTGGAAACTGTTATTTTTCTTATAGAAGAATCAAAGAGCAGAAACATCACAATTCAGTATGTGAGTGCTCTGTCAATAATTAATAATGACACATTTAAAGTAATAGGCTACAGCATTACACAAATGCCCTGATGCTTATGCCACATAAGATACGGACTGCAGCCCTCGAGACCCAGCAGGTTTGAGAAGTCTGCATGAGCTCTCCTGAGCACAAATCGAGAGGTCAGAAGTGAGGGAAGAAATCTGATTATTTGACCAGCAGCCAGTTGTGCTTTTCCTACTCCACAACTCTGTGATCGCTAATGAACACCAAGGCAGGCAAGCAGACAGGCTTCTGCTATGATGAGAGAGCCTGTGGGAGGGATACACACCCTTCAGTGTCACAGAGCTTATACTTCCCCTGCAACACTGACCTGAGGTCACAATTTATATCTGCACCCACTGGACAGTTTCCTTTTACTGTTGACCTGGGCTGGTGAACGCTTCCAGAGCCCATCATTCAATTGCAGATGGGTTTGGTCCCTTGTGTTAATCTTTCTCTAATTATTATTTTTCCAGACAAACTCACATTTTTTTGCTGCGTACAGAGAGCAAGAGATTTAATGGCTGGCTGAATTAGTTATTTCAGAAAACAACAAAACCAACAAAACAAACCGTGCTGGCTTTGCAATTAGGAGAAAAAATGTGGCTGGAGAATAGGGAAAACTTGTTTTGAAATCTGCCAGCCCTTCCCACTGAGAATGCCTCCAGCTGCAGGAACATCAGAGCAAAGGCCATCAGCTGTCTTCATCCACATAGTGAGGACTCCAGGAGAGGGAGATCAGAGGTTCCCAGGGGATCAGGATTACATCCAGTCTTAGGCTTTGGTGTCCCAGAAGATTTCTTGTTGCCGATTGCTTCTCAGTCTTTTTTAATACACCTCATGTGGCCAATTTCTCTGGGTGGCTTTTAATAACCTCTTCAGGTTTTATTGCTTTCTTGCATTCACATCTTTCTGGAAATCCTTTTCTTTTTAATATGTTTGCCCGCACAACATGTCTGATTTCTCAGGGAACAATAACTCTTCAGTAGGATCCTTTTTAATGAGCAACTGAAAAAAAAACATCTTTTGTAGAGTCAACATTTGACATGAGGCCTCAGAAACAGTGTTTTTTTTTAAATGCTTTCCTCCTTTTGATTTGGCTCATACATTGTAAGCTCCTGCTTGATTTCCTCCATTTTTCATATTTCTCAACTTTTCAATAGCAACGTAGCTCTGAAAGGTGACTTTTACTATTGCATGCTATACAAAATATACTCCATCTGCAAACACAGTTTGCTTTCCTGATACTTTTTCTACTGCTAGTATAAACAACCACCCTAAACTGGTATTCGAACTGGGCTCTATCCATGTCCCACACGCAGTGGCTCATGACACTGAATCTTATAATATCTGGAGTAATTAGTAAAACTAGGTAAACCTATAATGTTGTCAATTTATGTGAATCACAGATTTCAATATACAAGTTTCTCCAAGCCTTAAAATTAATAGGAATTGGTTTTGAACATAGGAATCTCCAAGGCTCAGAAGGCAGAAGTTAAAAAAGAACTCCAGTAAGGATGTACCAAAGGACCAAAGTTACAAACCAGGCATCCTTGGGCATCCTTTTTCTCAGGCTGTGATTCGGCAGGGAAGACAGACACTTGGTTCATGATCTCTGATTGATTGGGAAAGGGTATATGCAGAACCTCCCATTGTCATCATCTGTAAATTGAGCTCTTCTGATCATACCTTTCATGGGTTTGCAAAGAGAACACTATTCACTACAGCATGGCAATGATCTGAAAAACTGAATATAACCCATTCACTGACAATTTCTTCAGTGCTTCTGCTCTAAATTCAAATTCTAAGATCAACTTTTTCCCTCCCATGTCCCCTGATAGATACGAGGTCACCCTGGTGAAAAGGGCACAGCATTACTGGTTTTCCCATACTGTTCTCATGCTTCAGTCCTGATTTGTTTCCATCTCCATGGCTGGTCTCCTGTGATGTGCGATGACCCAGGTTCACCCATCATCTCTCATTTACTTACAGCACAGAAACCTTAAAAACCCCAAACTCACCACACTGACACATCAGCTATCCCAGCACCCGCAACTTACTTAGGTTCATCTCTGGTCCTCTTGAGAAAGAGGCAGTCCAGCCATCCCTGAACTCCTCAGCAGGGACCACCTGCTTTCTCCACCAAAGCCAGTTCTGCAGAGAAGCCTTTCTAGCATTCCTTTGGCCTACATTTAATTCTGCTGCTCATCAGAAGAGCTACAGCTCAGCTGCTTAGTTAGCCCACCTCTCTCCCCATCCTTCTGGTTCTTGTTTCCCAGCTCAGAACAGTCAGCCAACATGTTGCTGGCATCACAAATTTCAACCCATTCCAGTGAAACCGCTGCTCCCCCCGTAAGATTTCACATATCTTCTCTGCTGGTCCTTTGCTGCCTCCCCTAAACATCTAAATAGCCAGCCCCCTCTCCTGCCCCACCAGGAACCATGTACTTGCTCAGGGAGCAAGGCCAACTCTTCTGAAAGGGTCCAGACTGGGTGCAGACTGAGAAATGGGCTCTGGAAGTTGTCTCATTACAGAAATGGCAAATCATCAACTATTGCATTTCTAGGACAACTCTTCCTTCCACAGTGATACTATCTGGTTTCATCTACTAATATTTATTTCCATTTATCAAGAATAGCACAGCCCACTGAATAAGTGAGTTTTACTGTGGTAAGAAGCTTTAGAATTTGGGGCTAATGTGCGTATGGAGAAGTTGACACAATCAGTTAAGCTCTTCTACTAATCAGTTAAAGAAGACAAATATGCAGTAAATTAGCCACTAGTGCTAAAGGATGAAAAAAAATATTCCATTCTCAACAAATTATTTAAAAGTTTACTCTTTCAGTGTCTGCAACTAATTGGGTTCTGCCCACACATCAGTGGGGTATCATAAATCCATTAAAACAATGCCCAAAGACAGAAAGATTCTTCAGATTCAAATGTTTTCATAATGTGTTTTTTTTCCTCATTATTCCTCTGTCAGCCAGAATAACAACTTCCTACTCACATGGTATAGGTAATTAAATGTTTGCAGGCAATCCCACTCCCCTAATGGTCCCAGCATTACAGCTGTGTAGGTGGAGTTGAATCTGACATTTTGTCAAAGCCAAGTGGCATGCTTCTGTTCTAAGGCAGCTTCAACTCACCATTTAGGGGGTGGGATTGCTCTGGGAATAAAACTGCCTGTCTTATTCTACCGCTGGGTAAAAGGCAGCAGCTCTTGTCTAGGACACCTAAACAACCTACAAATGGAAGATTTGAGCAGTGAATAATTCACCATGTAAGAATTTATCCAGTTTGGACCTTGTCTGAAATAACAGTCCTACTCATCCAAAGAAGAATTTGATGAACTTTCTGGTCATCGTGTATTGGCAACTGAAGTTTGAAGCTCATCACAACAAGGATGAGTGCAATTTATCCTGCCAAGATACTGATTCAGCACTAGCTCAAAATGATGGAGTCATCCCCAGGAGCTGTTTATGAGCAGGAGAACCATCAGTGAACAAACCTGGGCAAATCTGCTTCCTTTAAGAATATATGACTGGAACAGGTTGCCCAAAGAAGTGACAAATGCTCCATCCCTGGCAGTGTTCAAGGCGAGGTTGGACACAGCTTTGGGCAACATGGCCTAGGGTGAGGTGTCCCTGCCTATGGCAGGGGGGATAGAACCAGGTGATCTTAAGGTCTTTTCCAACCCTAAGGATTCTATGATTCTATGACTTCAGGCTACGAGATACTCCAGATCTCCAGCCTTCCAGTAAAATCCTTGTCTTGCCCTATCAAGGGTATTTGCTTCTCAAAGAACTCTCTTCTAGAAAACATACCCAATGGTTGAAGTAGTTGCAGCAAGTGAGATGTAGCTGACGGTCAGAGCTATATTACATAAGTTTTGCATGAAACTGTTAAATCATGTATATGCTTGGCTGACACTGATGACTATCCAAAAGCTATTTACAGTGGTATCAATAAATCAGTGAGATCATTGTCCTGCTCCCTCCCTTCCCAATACCTGGATCCTAGCAGATCCAGGTAAGTCAACCGTGTCTCCATAATGAAAACAGAAATTTAATTATTCACAAGCATTCCCCTTGAGCCTTCTCTGGGCTTTTTGTGAATGATTAACAAAGCAGCTGCTCCAGACAGCACTCTCAATCCTCACTTGCTGGCCTGTTAAAAGCAGTGACTCATCAGCACATGACGTCAAACCCTCCTCTCCTCTGAAATGGCAGGAAGGAGGTTTCATTAAAAAGATAAAAAAAGGTATCAACATAACAGCCTGAACTTCCTCCCAAACACACGGGGTTTGGTCAGGGGTCATCTCTGCCTCAAGAGTTACACCATGCACATTGCACTGACAGCTCCTTCAAAGGGTAAACTTTTCTGGTGAATACTGGAAACAAAACCAGGTACCTCCTCAGGCAAGCTGGTTTATTAGATACCGACTCAAAACAAACCCCCAGAATTAGGCCTTTTGGGAAGCCCTTCTCGTGCATCTCACAGGAGCGTTGCCCCACTCAGCGGAGCTTGGCAAGCAGTGAGCAGCATCCTAGCTCTCAATATGCTCAGAATGGGGTGGGAGTACTTTCACAAGACGTTTACACACCACAAAGTAGCTGTTAAGCAGTCCTTGAAACTGCCCAAACAATACTTCCCAGTAACACCCGATAAGGGTGCCCAAACAGACATGTAGAGAAGCAGCATCAAGTCAGTGCTGCCAAATTCAAGACCCTTCCCGTGCCTCTGTGCCTGGCTAAAATTAAGCTGAAATGTGCAGACATGAAAAAAAATATGTGAACGCAGGCATGATTCCCTGTCTTTGTCAGAAACGTGGGCCCAGTGCCATGAAAGATAGAAGCAGAAGAAGTAATCTAGAAAGGGGCTGTTTCTGTGTAGTTAAAATTCAGATTTTTAATCCAGACGGCAAATCCTTCTGTCGCATGGATAACAGCATTTTACTCAGAAACTATGCAAAGCAATGAAGAGGAGAACAAGCCGAGTAATTTGAGTTCTTCTCTTACATGGGATTAATTACTGGCATCTGTGATGTTTCACTTTCTCTGCTAGCTTTAGGCTGCAAAGCCAAGCCTCGGTCTCCTCGGAGCCCAGCTCCCGCAGCAGCGCATCCCAGGCTGCAACCACTTGTTCTTGAGCTGCAAAGGGCCACAGCAGGGGACAGGAGATATATTTAGCTCCATGTTCCCGGCTGCCTGGAGGGCAGCATCGCTTACAGCCTGCTACTGACTTCCCCCAGCACGGTGCTGGAAGCAGAAATACTGCTGTTAGCTCAATCTCTTCAGCAAAGGCAGTCAATTAAGGGGTAAAATGGAGGTTTGGAAAGACAGCATGGCAACGTGGGGCACATCCACACACACGGGCTTTGTGCCAGAGCTGGAAAGTGCTGCTTGCGTATGGCTGCGCTCCCACCTGCACTGCTTCCCCTGCTACTTGTTCAGGCCACAGATACGCTATGAAAGCCCAAGGATGACTGAAATGACTGACCAAACGTACATGACAGAAAAGGTGCAGAAAAAACAGTGTAACACACAAGCCTCTGCTTGACATACTTGTCAAATAAAAACAGATTATATAAATCAACATAATCTTGATGTCATTTTGCTGAAATTAGTTCATTGTCCGACCTTTTGGCTTTCCCAGTATTCTCAGCCTTGACTCTCTCTGACTGCTTGATTTTCAGTGGGGTCCCTGTCTACCAGCAGGCCAAATCAGAAGTTGTTTTCTCAGATATGCAGCAAATGGAAAGTTCACAACAAAAATGGCCCCTGGGTATCTGAGTTAGCTCTGGACAACAGAGCACTCTAAAATGGGAGTGAAAATACTCTTACTGCTTATCTTTCTAGAATCACTTAGCAATGCAGTACCAATAGACTTGAATTTTGCACATACCTCATAATCTCAAGTTTAGACCCTAAATAACATTTCAGTTTGAAAAAGTGCCTAGCTACCATCTTACTTAGTGATAGCAATGCACTATGTAAAACATCACTGTATTGCAGAATTCATCTGAGCTAAATTGAGCGCTGTAATTACTTAAGAAGGAGAAATGAGGAATACAATACCAGAAACGCGGTCATTCCTCAAACAAGGCTTTCTAAAAGACTTTGCACTCTTGGCAGAAACAGACAGAAAGTATAAGGAAGGGAAAGGTTGCAGAAGTGCTGGCAGAAGGAACTGAGGACTGAGCAGAACACAGCCCCTGGGCTCCACTGCTCTGTCTTCTCTGGTGATAAAAACCCTTTCATCCCTTCTGGGGAAAGTCAGTTAAAAGTGAGTAGATAAAGGAAGAGATGTGAAATGGAGTTAATGGAAGCACTGGAGGCAGGAGAGGCTGCCCTCACTCCCGCCACCAGCTAGCACTGAGGGCCTCTCTAATGCTCTTGGCAGCCATCCCTGACTAAGAGATGTCTTGCTGCCCCGACCTGTGCAAAGGGGAAGCATCATGCCACAACCCTGGAGGACCTCCCTCCTTCTCCTGGCCAGCATCACCTTGGAGCAGAAAGGGAGCACTTTCACTCCTGTTTACGTGTGTCGCACTATTACTGCTTGGCCTCCCATACACAGCCTTCTGCAGCTGCAGAAAGTTGTAAGTTTAAAACAATGATGTTATAAAAACCTAGCCAATCTGTTTTAATTGATTTTTATTATCATTAATATCGAGAGACAATAAGCAAGCAGCACTGGGTTCACCAGGGTCTCTGCTCCGCCCGAGACGCACACAGGGAACTTCTGGGGATAGTCTCTTATACTTTTTGGTTTCCTGGGCTTCCTCAGCCAATCCTGTTGTCTTCTTTTCCTGGGCTTCTCCACCTGTTGTTGGGGTCTTGTCTCTGGGTGAAGAAATATTATGTCTATCACAAGTCTGACCGCCATCTTAGCCCCCATAAATTCCACTCCTTATGTGTTTATTTGTTCAGCGCACAGATTTCACAACGTTCTGTAACAGGACATATCTCTAAATTACCTACCCCCCCTTTTCTAAGAACATTCATGCAATTTAAACAAAGAACAAAACATTTCTTTGCACAATATTGCGGTTGACCCAGGGGAATTATTCCCTTGTTTCTTCTTCCTCCTCACTGTGGTATCGACAGGGACACTTATACCCTTTGCACACAGCACAATGATCACAAGGGATTCCATCTCCACACAAAGTGCAATGATCACTAGGACCCCCGAGTTGCTGACACGAATCACTCTGATGTTACTCACAATGACAAAAATACTCTCAATAACCACATATTTGCCATCAGTACGTTCTTACAAGCACATCTCATTAAGGAACAGAAGGAAATCAGAGGCTGTCCTCTCTCACTAAGCACCCCTTTGCTTTTCCGTTATTTTTCCTTTTACTGGAGTAATCTCCAAATATTTAGGGTCTCAGATTTTTTCCATTATTTAGGAGAGAACTGGATGCTTCAACGTGGCTGTAATATTAGGGAAACCTTATTAGCACAGGATGCACAGGCTGCTTTGTTTGTTAGTGTATGGCAGGACAAGTCAACCAACAGCAAACCCTGTATAAGTCCACTATTCCTGATGTCTCAAAGGATTTAATCTCCCATTTCTTCTGGAAGCCAGCGCAGAGGCTTGGGACACCGATCAGACGCTTACTTGCTGAATGGACTAATGCAACCACCACCAGCCTGAGGGATCCGCTGTCTCTGTGTGCTCTAGGCCCCCCCCCATGCAGTGAAACACTAACCATTTAGAGTAGAAACATTTTTAGTTGATACATTTTTTTGACACTTGAGTCCTAGGTGTAGCACAGCCATGTTGCATTGAACCAGGTCTGAGCTCCAGCCGAGCCCTCACTGCAGCCGCAAAAGCAAGTTAGACCAAAGGCTTTTGCGCTTCCTAGATCTCCCCAGCAGGATGCTCTGTGGGACCCTGCAGTGTAGAAGGACAGCACAGAGACAAAGGACAAGCACAAAGCACAGGCGATTTCTGCCCCAGCCTGCCAGGCAGCAGCCCAGCCTGCACTGTGTTGTGAGGTCAGAAAAGGCACAGTAATGTGAGTACAGAACCTCTCCTTCCCCTCCGCAGGCATCAGGCTGAGCCCTGGCCCCTGCCGCAGGTACAGCTGTGTCCAGCTGTGCCCACTTCAGCACAGCTGAAGCACATCACTGACTGCCGAAGCCCTGCTGACCCAGCAGCCCAGCAGAGAAGCCAGGCAAGGCTCAAGTCATCCCTTTTGTAATGCCTCCCCCTTCCCCGTTTGCGTTGGCTTCAAAACATACCCATCTTTTAAGTTTCCCCTCCTCTCAGAAGAGCCCTGCCTGACAGAGGCAAGAAAATGATGTGCAGGAACTTCCCACAACAGCCATTACCTGTTCAAATTAAAGCAAACTTTATTTCTCATTAATTTTATATTAAAGCATGCAACAGTGAAGAGAACTCCCCTTTTCTACACCTAAACAGAAACAGCTGTTTTCCCAGTGCTGAGCAAGCAAGGCAGGGGGAGCAATTTAAACCTCAAAAAACGCAGGTAGCCCTGTTAAAGCAGTCTGAGCTTCTGGCATGCTTGCAATAAAGGACACCCTAAAGTACTTTCTGAATCCAGGTCTCATGCACAGTTGTTACAAACAGTTACAGAGTGTAAGAAAATAGGAGAAAAAGAAAATGATTGTGCTTCTGGTTTTCATCAATTTATCTGCTATTTCAATTTTCTGATCAACTACCAATGAGCCACAACACAATATGGTTCATATAACAGAATAAAGAGTAAAACCAACCAGTACCATTCCCCCCCCCTACTGAAGGCACAGCTGTCCTTGTACTTCATTACTCCCTAAGCACTACCTGGGAGTTAGACAGCAAAACAGAGAATCCCTTATAAGGCTGCTGCAAAGAAAAATGTAACCAAGTATTTCTATATTGATCCTTGATATCACAAGCAGTACTAGGCTTGTGTCACACTAAAGGAGTTGGCATCAGGAAGAGAATTTCAACTGAGGGAATTGTCAGGGCAGACTGTCCAAGAACATTTTGGGGTCTCCACCACAGGCTGATTTAATGAAGTTAGAAAAACATCACTCAGATCCTGCCTGGGACCAAAGGATGCACAGGATTTCTTGATGTTCTAGTCCTTCCACTCTTATGCCAGGTTCAAACATAAATGCAAGAGTATAGATTATGACATAACATTTTTGACATACTAATTAATTTCATCATCACTCAGAACTGTCATCTTTAATGTTGCTGTTTCCTCATATTAACCCAGCCAAAATGAATCAATGTTTTATTACTGTATTTAAAAATAATTTATATTTCATTGCCCTCTGCAGTACCTTTTTTTGCCAGAACATTCCTATCATTGCCAACACAACGCTGTGTCAGTCCTTGCCAAACAAGAACTGATTACCCAAGCCAGTTTTTCCTCTGAGAACAAGAACCACCTTGTCACTGACAACAGACACCAGAAAAAAACCCTCATTTGCCCCAGTTGCAGCTGTCAGCTTCCAAACCCAGTCAGGTTTTTTCCCTTTTTCCCCAGAGTACTCCTTTCTTCCCACATTGTCAAGATTGCCCTTTCAGAGGTGTAACCCAGGGTAATACTCACCTAGGACCATGCCCCAAGCCCTCTTGAGAAATAAAATAGAACATATTCTTTCATCTGAAACTTCTGTGAAGATGATACTCCTCTGTGATGTGTCATTGTTGGCTTGGCTCAGCTGAGGCTGACTCCTCACTGTTAGATTCCAGGAGGACCCTGAACTGTGATCACCACACAGCAGAGAGACTCACAGAGCTGCTGGCAATTTATTCATGCACAATCCTGATCCACAGAGCAACTGAGATCCACAGCAAGTGGATGTAATGAATTTGTCACCCTGTGCCACTAGGGATTCTACATTCAGCATTGTTTTTTACAACAGACACAGAAAGCTCACCTTTGCAGGAAAAATCCATCAGCACTCTATTCTCCATTGCAGATTGTGGTGTGTAATGGGAGATGTTGGGTTTGGAGCAGGAAGCTTTGAAAGAGAGGAGAATTCTCAGTGAGAATTTTAAAAGGAGATGGCAGAAGGGTAAAGTAAACTTTAAGGCACCTTCTACATGTTTCCCCAACCAAGTTTCCTTTCAGCTTAGGAAAGTAGGAATCTTACTGCACTAAAACACAGGGGTAATTGGATTTTTCCATATGGATCTGTACACAGAAATGTTGCCTATCTCATGTATGTGGACTGTCTTTAAAACATACAACTACAACCAAAGGCAAAAATCCCAGCTAAACTGCTAACTATTTCTCAGCTTACTGGGGCTCTCCAGGCCAGCCACAAGTTTGGTTCTAGTGTGTCCTTTCCACAAAAGTCAGCCAAATTTTGTAGTGTCCTGGGAAAGTGGAATGCAAATAAGATGCTATTTGTTTCTAGATGGGCAAAGGATTAGCTTTGAACTATCTTATAACAAAGAATGTACATCTTACAAAGAATGTAAGAAAACATGTGGTAACAAGAGCTGTAAAATAAGTAAATAAAAAGACAAGGTTAAGTGGACTAGACAACAGAACTTGAAACAACTGTAATTTATGATAATGCATATTATTGGTCTTCCTTAGGGTTCGCTGAACAGTAATTTCAAGAATAGCTTCTTCCTTTCCCTTAGCCTGGGTCTCATTAGTCATGTTCCAAGGCTACAGGTTTCCATGACAGCAAACATTAAGTCTCTTGCAGCAGTTATTTCTGCCGTAAGCACTAAGCTTTCACTACTGTACTTCAACCTAGACCCGCTTGCTTCATGAAATCCCTGAAAAATACTAACAGACATTTAAATCAATAGCTGTATCTTACCTGTACTATGAATCTCGCTAAGGAGCATGCACACTACTGCATTCAGTGGGAATGTCATCAAATTCCCCAGAAGGATGCTTTTACCTGGTCTGAGCTCACAAGTTCTTGGCAGCCATCTAAAGCAAAAATACAGTGATGTAAGATGATGATGCAGACTCCACACTCATGGAGGCATCAAAGAAAGTTAATGAAAATCCCACCATGGGGCTTAACTGCAGAACAAAGACCTTTGGGTTTAGTCATTTCATGCAGGCCGAGAGCAATGTCTCTCCTCACAGAGGAGCTGTGCTAACACAAATGTTTTCCAACACATTTTCAGTGCACCAGAATGTCATGGAGAGGCACAGAGAGGGTTTTTTTTTATCTGTGAACTGTACTGAGCCTTGTTATTTTGTTGATTGAACGTCTCTGGGTATCTTTTAAATTTTCACTCACATTGTTAAAACTCCTCTGAACCTTCCTTATAAAACCAACCCCTCCTTACCCCTAATGTACTGTTACTGAATGCTGTATCACTCCGACACACAGAGTGCTAAGCAGTGTAAAAAAGGTGTTATCTATTGAAAGGACTGTAAATTAATGGGGGCGGGGGGGGGGGGGAGTATTTCATCCTTTCATAAGTACAACATTATTTCAGCATTACATGCAGACACAGAACCATACCTATAGTTTATACTAAGTTTCCTGTCTGGGTTTCTGAAAGCACAGAACTTTATAAAACACAGGTTTTATGTAGGAGCAGCTAGAAGGAGGTGTTGAAGATTCACTTCCAGTGGCTTTTTGTTAAATAAAGGTTTACAGGAGGTAACCTGAATGTCAATTTTCCTATAGTTATTCATAAGAGTTGACACCACAGTCAGAAATGCCTCATGAAAAAAGAAACAAATGTGAAGAATTCATGTATCCTCTGAGATCCCGTCACTCCTATCTCTCACTCATAATAATTTGTCATAGTTCTACTATTCCTCTTGACATTATTACACTTATTTTTATCCCAGTCAGTGTCTGTCTCTCGCTTTTTAATTGTCATGATGTCAAAACTCACGAGTTGCAAATAGTTGCATGACAGAGAACCAGCCCTGTCACAACAGGTAAGCGGCAACATCACAGCAAGAATCCTTCAGGCAGAGATGCTAATAAGAAAAACCAAGCAGTTTTTTGCTAGATACAGCTGGCAAAAGCAAGGAAGAGAATCTAGGTTAGCAACATGACTATGATTAATGATTATTTTAGTAAATGCAATTTTGCAAACTAGGATGTATGTGCTTGAAGCTCATCAACAAGGTGAGAATTTAGGTAACTGCAGAAGAGGTTAGTGAGATTGGGAAAACCATTAAGGAACCTGCTTTCTAAAACTTTCTTGATAATAATTTCATAAAGTAGTCTCACAAAACTTTACATTGAACATTGCCTAGAAGAGTCAGGGAAGTTGGAGAGAGAAACATCAACAGCAAGCACAACTGAAATGGGCAATGCTGCAGAGAGATTTGTAAATATATACAAAGATATATGCATCACCAGTTTTAAGAAAAATCAAAGAACTAAGGTAACAGGAGAGGCGTTAAGTCTTCTGATGACTTATACTCTTCAACGCACTACATTATGCAGAGTCCTGTTGACGGCAATGGAATCCCGCAAAGATGGAGGCAGGCACAGGCATTTTGACACAGTGACCTAAAGGCAATCTGACAATAACTGGGTTTCATCTGGGCTTTGTCCCTTTGGAGAAGAGTTGGGTTGAGCTGAATGCCATTGTAATGCCACTTAGGTGAGTGACCTCCTTCTCATTGAAGGTTGTAAGAAGTATAAATACAAGTTTTCTGCTTCAAACCAATCTGTCCTATATCATAGGTATACTATACATACACACCGACATTTGCAAAAGTCACATTAAGTAACACCCACCTACCTACTTTGTGTAGCCCATCTGCAGGCAAAAGCAACAGGAACCTGTAGATGTTTTTTAGACCACAAATATAATCAAGCAGTTCTTTAGAGTACCTAACACGTACTTCCATCCAACTTTGTCGTATAAAAGCAGTTGGCACAACAGGTGCAGCATATTCCAATGACCTTCTGCATAAGGGCAAGGAAGCTATACTAATTTCATCACACTTCTCAAGTTGACATTGGATACATCAGTTTGGCAATGCTACGTATTTTAGATGCTATATTGACATGGCTGGCATAAGTACCCCTAGCTAATGTATTTCATAAGGAATTCTTCATTTAAAACAAGAGACAAAGAAGTCCTACAGCTCTTCTTCAAATGACTGAAGAAAAAAGCTTAAGATATCTTTATTCATACCAAGAAATCTTCTTTTTGGAACTCCTATTTTCATATACTCCAGAATTCACACAAGAATTGTAAGAGTCAGAAAATCACAGTGTGGTTCCAAAAAGGAGGAGTAAAAGCAAATGAAACTGCTGATGATTTCACCGAATAAAAGACACTTATAAAAGTAAAGGGCGGAAAGAGTCTCTGCATGTTCTAAAGTGGCTCCTTAATCAATTAAATGCTACTTAAAAAAACCAACTTCATTTCAAGCCATGAGAAAATAATATACAACTCATACAATTTCATTAATTTACTACTAAATTGAAGGTCTTCAGAGCTATTGAAAGCCCTTCAGCAGTTTCACCATTTTTTTGGTCCTGAAAGTATGCCTTTGACATCAATACAGAGAAAACAGGTGGATAAAGTAATTATAATAAGAGCATCATGATGCTATGAGCAAGCTTGTAACAGTTTTACTAACAGACTAGATAACAGGCAGAAAACCGGGTTGACAATTAACAAAGTTGTCATGTTGTGTCAAAGTGCTCCCACCCTCCAAAAAAACCCCAAACCTCACTACAGGAAGATACAGACAGACTGGGAAGGAAGGAGCAATGAAAGAGCAGGAGTAAGAATGAAGAACATCCCTGAAGGAAAATACCAACTGTACAACCCAGAAATCAAAGAAAATCTATGCCGAAGGGAAATGCAAACCTGCGCAATCAATGACTCCCAAAGACTAATTTCTTCTCTTCTGGACATCTCCTTGCTCTCAAGCTGCACACTTCCAAAGGTTACAGCCTTTGTTTAGGTTCAGGGAACCTAGGAGGGGGACAGGAAAATGAGGAGAAAGACAGAAAGAGGCCATCTGTATGCAGCAGCAAAAATGATTCATTAAACCTGGGAGAAGCCCACCTTGAGTCAGAACAGCCTTCCAGATTAGAGGTGTGGTGTGCATACTAGTAGCAGTTGGAGCAGTCTTATTAGCAGACTAGAGCAGAAAATAGAAGGAAGATAGTGAAAGAAAGGGGCTTGGTCCAAAGAGAAGCACATTTCTTCCTAAACTAGATGGTTTCATCTTTTCAAAATACGCTTGTGAAATCAAAGCCCACAACAATTTGGCTTTTGGAAAAAATTATTATTAGAGCAGAATAATCATTACATTCAAAATAATGGACATTTGTACAAAAGTAGAGTCATATGGTCAGCAATGGACTAAAACTAGTAAAAATACTTCTAAGTACCATCAAAGTAACATTTTATGATGACAAAACCAGTAGCTAAAAGGCATGGTACAAAACAAGTGTTTAGTCCAGCAAGGAGAAGAGAAACTACATGAAGGGTAATAACAATTCTGAGAAACTCATATGCAGAGTAAGGCAAGTACAGAATTGTTGAACCCTCTGCTACATTGGCTGACCTTCATCTTCACAATTATACAAACAAACCCCTTAGTTATTGCTTTTGGTATTTCTCTGAGGCTCTGGCACATTGGGAAGCAATTTTAGGAAGTACAGTTTACAGGTGCATACAGCAGTTCTCTCTCCAGACAGTTGTAACATTAAAATGCAGGCTTGTTCATGTACTCTTCCACTGTCTGGGGAAAGAAAAAAAGAAGGGTCAACTGATGGAGCATTATGGAACAGTACAATAACCTCTCAAATCAAACCTTTTCTCCTCTTTACAGACAGTATAGTTTTGCATGGAATTAGATCAGATTAATTAAAATGTGGAAATAATTCTGCTTTAAAAACATTTTACAGCATTTTAGAATCTGATCTTTAAATCATGACATATCACAGTGGCTAAACTCATCATGTATAGGCCTTTCTACTTAGCTGGCTTAGTTTCATATGCAAACGCCAGACCACTGTGAAAAACTCTTTGACTCACACAGTGTGTCCCTAGCTAGTTCTACCAGCATGCTGTTCCTTTCAGTATTACAATGGATCCTTCACTACCTAGGAAGAAATTAAGTAAATCCATCACATTCAAGTGCTTTTGCCATTCCTGGCTCAGCAGTATATTACAAGACAATCCTGCAGGGGTCTGAATAAAGGTTTCGTATAACTGTGTCCTGCAGAAAATCTACCCAGGTGTTTATGAATGAAAGTGGAGTTTGCCAGCACTTACTCTTTCCAGTTTTAAATGTTAATAGTAGGTCATCTGTTTCCAATATATTAATGAAACATATTTTTCTGTATTTAGATATACATATGTATACATACAATATAATCGTAGACTATGTTCTTGTGTTATAAAAATATCCAAGATATGTCTTAAACAGTTTCTTAATATAATATCCAAGAAACCTTAGCAGTTAAACTGCAAGACAGCAACACCAGTATACAAAGAGCCTCCTGGTGATTCCACAAGATGCAAGAAGGTTGAATTGAAAGCTTATGTAACTGCTATCTTAACTGCATTGTTGTAACTATTGAAACTGAACACAAGCCACATTTAGGTAGTCCTCAGATGTGCTTAACCATATTTTCAGCTCTGTGAAACACAGAAGATGTAAGAAGATGAGGTATTTGTCTTTTGTCTTCCTCTGCCTTACCTCCTGCAACATGTCAGAGTCTTCTATGGCTTTCACTGCAGACCTCTTTGAAGTTTCTTGTACTTCTCCACCAATTATAAACTCATCAAGAATAAAATAAGCCTTCTCAAAATTAAAGATAATATCCAGCTCACACACCTGCCAGAATAAAGGAACACCCCACATTTAAATCACTTTTGTAGTATCAGAATCACTATTGGGCCAAAAGTTGTTAAGATGATCAAACTTGTTCAACAGATACACTCTTGTGGCAGTTAGGAGGATGAAGAATACTGCTTATTATGTAATATCACAGCTTCTACCCATAATTCTCTTCATACAAATAGTCTAGACTTACTTGTAATATGGGTTACATATGTTCATGCACAGTTTCACAGAGCAAGACAAATTCCCTGTCCTAGTGACCTTGCACCACCAACTGCTTTCTTGTTTTGAGGTGGTACAAACAGGAGTCATGGCACAGTGATTTAAATAAGAGATGAATTAAGGTAGTGGGAACTATTTCAAGAATATTCATAGAAAAGATGGGTCTGTTGCAGTCTTTAAAGACTTATTTAACCTTCTTCAGATTTTTCTTTAAGAAAAACACCCACTTTTTCTTCTTTATATCCTTCACTGTTACACACTATTAAGAAACAAACAAAACCAGTGTACCTGAAGATGTCAGGAAAGAGAACTAAAGCACTGTCACGCAGGACTGAAATAACTTTCCTCAAGTTTCCCCTCAAATACTATTCCAAGACAAACTTACAAAGTATGAAGATTAACTAGGGGAAGGTTGTGGTGGAAAAACTATCTTCTGATAGTTTTAAGCACTATTTTATGAAATATTCTACTAATGAGATCACTCTGGATTGAAAGAGACTACAGGGCAAATAGTGCAGATAGAAACACAAACTAAAAAAGCTTCAGACAACTGTTTATCAGACTGCCAGGAATACAGTTCATAAGGGAAAGTGAAACCTACATTTCCAAAGTATCTGTCCAGAAGCTCTACATATCGGTGAACGACCTCTAGTGTCAGGAGTTCATTGTCCTGGTCTTCTATTGCACAACAGAAGTACAAACTAGCATACCTAAGGAAACAAAGGCAAAAATGTGAGAGTGAACAGCTGGATCCTCAGTGCTCTGTTCTGCCTCTTACAAGTTACATAAATGACAGTTAATGTCTATCTGGTCTCTAAAATAACACACTTTTATTCTAGTGTCCCAGGAACACTTAAAAAGAAATTTAAAGGAATTATTAATTTAGTTAGAAGAACAAACTCCACTCTTGGCAAAGTGGGATGCCTCCAACACTGGTCTTAACAAACCTCACAGGAAATCAGTACTACTCACCTGCTGCAATAGCACCACAGTAAGCAGGGTTAATTAAACTGCAGAATGTGTTACTGGTCTTTATTAACAAAAATGAAAGCAAAAATAAAGGTGGAAGGCTACCAGCCATCAAATGACTGACAGTATTTTACATAAGGTATGAAACTGCTTAAACCAAACAATCTTCATGACAAACTGGCAGCAAAACTTTCTGTTTGAATCAGCCCAAGATGGGAGTAGTGATCTACACCAATTCTCTGGTGCTGTGGCTAGAGGCTCAATCTGTCACATCATCTAGTCAGATGCTTACATCCGTCACAGCAGGGAACTCTAATTTTTGCTAAATGGGAGATACTGCTTAATTTGTAGTGTGTTATACCTTAAGGCTACTGTTGTTTGCTACAACTTTACAAGAATTAACAGTCAGTGAACACTTAGCATCCTGTAGCTGGGGACCAGTGTTTTGTTTGGAAAAGGAAATGGGAATTAACACCTTCTGGAGCAACAAATACTTCAAAGACAAAATATGACACAATGCTGAAATTACCTCAGAACAGTTCCTGCAACCACCCAAAGAGTCTGAAAAAGCCCAGCACGTCTCAGCAGGCTGCCTTGGGGAATAGGGAGCAGTGAAGCCTAAAGCCTCCTAACAAAATTTCAATCACCAATATTAAGTTATTCCCCTTTTTCTCTTTTGACAGACTGTGTAAGTAGTCTGCACCCACAATTTGCACTGCCAATTTATCCAGGGACACTGTGCTGTTACACACAGTTACCTTGCTGGTGGCAGGCTCCTATTAGCTTAGCACTTAGTGTTTTGTATGCTGTTTTTCTTAAAGTGAGCCTTTATTTTCCCTGTTCTAGCATGTGTTATTTATATGAATAGTAATTATATGTTCTCATAAAATTACTCACACCTTTTGTAAACAAGCTTGAGGTCTTTCCAGTCAACAAAACTACTTGTTTTTTGATTGCGAGACAAAATAATCTGAACAATTTCTCGAATGATCTTTTTCTTCTCTTTATCAGGTAGCGTCGTGTACCATTTCTGAAGCCTTAACTTCCCCTGCCGACTGAACAGCAGTATAAAGTGTATCTAGAGTAAACAAAGCAACACGGTTAACGCTGGGGCCATGGCCAGAGAAGAACATTCCACTGCCTGACACTGAAATCTGTGAGATCCCAGTGAAGGCATCTCCAGCCCTGGCGTGACGTTTGGACATGCCATCAGTGAGGTCTGCGGGAGGCTGGGCAGAGGAGCAGAGATCCCTCTCCTGTTTCTTACCCTGGCAGCTCTCCCCTCCCTGTGGGACCTCTCCCCTCAGCATCCCCTTTGGATTCTCTCCCACCTGTCCTCCCTTACCTTGTGAAAACATCTGCTTTGCTTCCTATTCTGACACTTCCTTGGGAAACAGGAGGAACATCACCACTTTGCAGCAGTGAGAAAGAGGGTCCCCACCCCTCCACCAGCAAGATTAGATACCTTAGCGAAGGGAATAAAGACTTATATTCCACAGGGCTATGGAGATCAAGGATGCCGTGTAGCACAAGACTAGAAATACGAATACTTAGATAGTAATCATAATCACTTACAATTATGGTATTGTACTGTTTCAGGTCACAAACAAAGCAGCACATTCATAGAAGAGGATTAGAAGAAGCAGAAGCAACCAACTACTTTGGAAAGATAGCTTGATTAGTTTTACTGAAGAAATTACCACAATACAAATACTTTTATTAGCAGATTAAAATAACTGACCATACTAAGTCTCTAAGCAGTATGGTAAATCATCTACCCACAGCATGAAAATGGCTTTAAGAATGCAGGAAAACTTTGAGGATGACATTGTGATATCCATCTCAACGGGACACCTTCCGTTAAACAGAAAAAACCCCACAACCTAGCAGGGATAGAGATGCTTCCAATGGCTGCAGACACTGTGAACTGCCTTACTCTGGACAGGCATCCTCATCATTTTTTCACCAGTAGCAATGTTTGGAGACGCCATGGACTTGGAGGATGTCCAACTGCAGTCACAGCCATGTGCATGACAACAGGCACACTGCCAGTTGCCCATGTAGAGACAAGGCTACCCCTGATGCTGGAAGGACCAAAAAGAAGCATAAGAGACTGCTTTCCTCACTCTCAATCCTTGCAAATGCCCAACAGAAGAGCTGGCAGGTCCCTTGCCGCATCCCCATTAACCTAGCCTTACCCTTCCCTATAGCTTTTCAATATACACCCTACTCTCTTCTCCCTCTTGTTTCCTATTCCATCTTATTCCTGTACCTGTATTTCCCTATCACTCCGTCTCCCCATCTTATTCCTGTACCTGTATTTCCCTATCACTAAGTCTCCCCAGTGAGGATCAAAGTTAATGTTCACAATTACTATTAAGATCATAATGAAGATTTCTGTAAAGACAGAATCATTCTAGGCTCTGGTGAAGTCCAAGCAGAGAAATACATCAGAGAAGCTTCTTTGTAAAAGAAAGGGGAAAAAAAAAAAAAAAAGCTACTGGATCTTAAATAAAGCTTTAATTCATAATTCAGAACAATTCTCTAGCTATTAAGTCACAGAGTTATTGAGTAATCCAGAGATAAGAAATCTGACTATATTGAGAAAGACTTCAAAGGTGGATAATTCTGGGGAAAAGTGGACTGTTTTATTCATGTGCCTGTGGCAGGATCTGCTGCTGGAAATATGGCGCTTGCCATCATTAGTCTAATGTGCCTGATAAAATTACAAGGATTTTGTTTTGAGCCCTGTAATACTCTCCAGATGAGCTTGCTAAATTGAAACAATTATGATGCTGGCAGTACACGTAGCCTGATTACAGTGAAGATCAAAGCACCATGTTCTTGCCTTTCTCTGTTCACATAACCAGCTGGGTTTTGACATGGTAATGTTCCAGCTGTCAGATACCCTATCCCAGCAGATGAAGGGACAGTACTTACAGTACATACACTTGTCCACTAAGACAAGCTGGATGAATGGAAGAGTTATATTCTTGCTGCACAGCACATTAGCTCCAAAGCCTTTGTAAAGACAAGTGCATTTCGAAAAGCAGCATAGGTTCTGCAGATAAGAGCAGCAGCTCAGCAGGTGTCCATTTAAAAGCAATCAGGCAGGCACAGGTAACAGCTATTTGATAAACAAATTCCTAAAACCATGGTGAATCAGATAGGAGAGGATGATCAGATTCGACTGAAAATGCAAGGAATTAGTCAATGAGTCCCTGTCAAAAGCCGACAGCATGTTCAGCACCAAGAAGATCGTGCTGTTTGAGACAGGCTCAGAAAGACATATATTTGCCTGCAGTGCTACAGGAAAGATGAAAGGGTGTTCTAGCTTAGGTTCAGCCGCTGGACCCAAAAGACCTTAAATCTGAGTGCCTGCAAGTAGTATACTTATCTCCAGGAAAACAACCTTATGCCTCTAAAAGGTCAACTACCCACAAGCCAGGGAATCACTGTGAATATGACCACCATTTTCTGCTGATTAGCTTACTTCAGGATGTTATACTTCACCCATAGGAAACTGAAATGCTTTCCTTTTGAAACTGCTTTGAAAACTCCACTGTTTCTTATGAAGATGCAGTTGATGTTTCACCATCACTTTCATGAGCAGAGGCAACATTCCTTGCAATCAAAAAATATCTACTAATGCTCTTAAAAACATCAAGATTCATATACAAGCTTAAAAAAATCCCATCTTTTGGATCCCCCATCCCACACTGTTTCATATGCAGAATGTAACTGCATAACTCATAAGGCAATTTTACTATTATTGAAATATATACAGCTAGAAAACAGATAAAAGCCTCTACTATAGTTCATTTCTAATTTTACAGTCTGCAGCAAAATAGTGTACCCTCAAGCCTAGGTACGTATTACTGCCCAGTTGAGAGTTTCTGTAACAAAACAACATATTAGAAAATTACAGATACTTAAAAAAATACTGTAGGTTCCTTTTCCCTCTTTTGACTTTTCTTCCTTTTTCTGATTTCTAAAGTCCATTCAATCTGGGGAACTCTCTAGAAAGTAAAGAATATTACCCTCTCAAGAGGTCACATGGCTTAATTTCTGTGAGTGGTAAGCATCCAATTGCTACATATGTTGTTTCATTCAGTTCAGCCACACTGATATGATACAACACAATCCTCACTCTCATAGCTCTGTTCATTACAGCTCACTGGAAAAATTCTGATGCATCAATAAACCTGGAAACACTGAAGTGCTGCACAAACAGAAATCTAACAGCTCATCTGTTCCTTGCTCCTTGACTGTGAAAACATATTTGCTTTCCTATATTGCTAATGACAAGATGGATGTTGGAATTTTGGGTTGGTTTTCAGCAGCCAAAATACAAATAGAGGTGATTATCCCAAAACATTTTACTTATCTTTAAAAATTCTAATTCCAGAGGCAAACAAAGGCAAATTACTTGTCTTAAGCAAAATACCTTTGAAGCAGGGTGCTTGGTTTCCTTTCCTACCATTCTAGGGTGCTGGCTGTGACTAACAATCACCAGACCCATGGCCGATGCCAGAAGGAATTTTTAGGTCCAAGCCTGAGTGGGTCGGGGTGAGAAGTGCAGTTCCTATGAAAAGCATCAGCTGCCTTCTCATACAGAGTCTGTGGAGACAAGCTTTGGTCTAGGAGCTGAGTGTGATTTTATTAGCTTGCTTTACTAAATCACACCTAACTACCCACAGCACTGTGCAAACTGATCTCCATAAGCATCTGCAAGTAGCCTAAATGACTGCATTTTGTATTTGTAGGCCACTATTTTCTAGTTGGAGAAACAGGGATTTTTAAAAAACAAGCATTTAAACCAGATTTCTAAACCTGAACTCTATCCCCTTATCATGCATCTCTGAAACAATTACAGCTGTAAAGTATACAACAGGTTGGAAAGTTAGGGAGCCTTCTGCTTTATACAGATGAACAAAACTGTACCAGGATAACAAACAATACCTTCAGTTTCAGGGCTACAAAATATCCAAAGGTAGACCTGGACATGAAATAATTTTAACAGTAAATTGAACAGACATTAAAAATGCAAAATAGAGAAGGTTTACATATTCACAAACAGCAAATGTAAGAGAAATATGCAAAATTAACACGCTGTGTTTTTTTTTCCCACCTTCCTCGGGAGACCTCTCCTTCCTTTTGCTAATGGGCTGTCATGATCCAATAAGCAGCTTACCCAAGCTTGTCTCCTGGACTGTACCCTGCCAAGACTGGAGGTCCCCTTCAGTGCAGCCTTACCCAGTATTCAGTCATTTCACACTCAAAGTGATAAAACACAATTGGTTCACTGTTTTCAAACTCAGACCATTTGTTGCTTTTACAGATGTTTTAAAACTTAATGTAATCTGTACTGCAATGTTTAGCACAACTGTCTAAAGGGCTCTGGACTATATTCTATTACACACAGAACAAACCACCTGTACGAATATCAAATAAAGACAACTACACAGTAAAACAAAGCAGCTTTCCTTACTCCCAGTTTCTCCAGTTTACTGTCCAGTGACAGAAACCTGTAAAAGTTGGCATGTTTATTCCCGCAAGGTGAACTCCAGGGGTGAATGCAGAGAAGCTCTGAGTCACTCCACTTTGAGAACTTGTGCTAGAAATGCTTTTCCTCCTCCCATACTTCAACCTGCATTAACATTTACTGACTGGTTTCAAACCTATTCTGTGGCATCTGGCTGCTCCAGGTGCTTTTGTGGGAGAGGACAAGGAAATAGGAAGTCTCCAAGGAGCCTAAGGGGAGGGAAGGCAGAAGAGGAGATGGCACCTGGAAGACCTAAAAGCAAACATCCTTCTCTTCCTTGGGTGCTTGGTTTGGGCAAGGATTTGTTCAGCTAGGTAGCTCTCTCAGTTCAGCAACACAGCTTAGACTCTGACTCAGCTGTAACCTTTCCAAATTCAGTTAAAAGCCCTCCCAAAACAAAGCCACCTTTATAAAATGGAAAGATTACTGAAACTCACAAGTTAACTAAGATCTTCAAATTAGGAATAACTATTCCAAAACAGACAGCTTGGCAGAACTTGGAAACTCTTCGATTTTCCTTAGAAACTTCCAGT